CGCCACGATGTTGACGGAGAGGAACTTCCAGTAGAGGCCGTTGTGCGTCTTGAGGTTGAACAGGATGTAGCCCGAGGCTCGGTCGACCAGCTCGCGCTCCGCCTGATCGTAGCGGCTCGAGTTGGCCGCCAGGTCCTCCAGGAGCTTCTTGCACTTAGAGTTGTCCAGGTTCTTGGATATCTTCCGCGGGATGTAGTAGACGCCGGCGAGCACCAGCAGCGACCACGAGATCCACCGGTAGAAGAGCAGGTAGCGCCTCGAGCCGCTGTCCTCCACGTAGGGGTACGAGAGGCAGATGTTGATGTAGTCGAGTCGGACTTGCGTTTCGGCGTTGAAGTGCGAGACACAGCTGATGACGTCACGATAATACCTGGAAGTAAACGACGAGAATTAGGTGGCTGCGCTATGCCCCGGCACGCCCTGAGAAAATACGTTCTCAGAAGGCGGGAGACGGAAGGGAAAATGGCGGAGGACTGACTGCAAGGGCGGAGATACTAAAAGTGGCGAGAGAGAGAGAGAGAGAGAGAGAGAGAGAGAGAGAGAGAGAGAGAGAGAGAGAGAGAGAGAGAGAGAGAGAGAGAGAGAGAGAGAGAGACAGAGACTAATACTGAGAGGGAGATTAAAACAGAGATCAATTCATCAACAATCGACCGAGCCAACAAGCATCAACACTACACAACTACAATCATAACACCCGGAACTGATAATTTTCCCTCCGAATCGTCCCGTCTCTCATTTGCAATAGTCTCCCCTCACCCTCTTCACCCCCAAAGAAAACGCATTTCTTAACCGCGATGTGCGTTACCGACTGAACATGTGTTTTCATTAGCGACTGACCTTTGACCTCCCTTTTTGACGATAATGATCATGGAGACATAAATCAACCGAAGAAAATGAGCCTTATTGAAACGATAATCACTCGCTGGTAACAGGCATGGAGGGGAAACCTGCTCACAGAAATGGTACTTGAGGAAAAACGTCAATAAAATAGATGGAATATGAAAGGAAGGAAAGCTGGAGATGGAGGAAAAGAGAGAGAGAGAGAGAGAGAGAGAGAGAGAGAGAGAGAGAGAGAGAGAGAGAGAGAGAGAGAGAGAGAGAGAGAGAGAGAGAGAGAGAGAGAGAGAAGAAAACAAGTAAAAAAAACCCGTAAAACTGTAAAAGAGAAGAGAAGAAACAAAAAGAGAAAAATAATGTGAAGAGGCAGAGAAAGGGAAATGAAAAGAAAACAAGAGAGAAAATGAGAAAAAAAAAGAGAAAACGACCAAAGAAGGAAGAAAAGAGACAGGGAGACAAAGCCGAGATGCTCCCAACACGTGTGTCTTGTGATGCTTAATGTACCAACCTCTTCCGCAATACCCCCTCCCCTCCCTTTGCCCTCCCCTTACCCGCAAACGCCTTCCCCCCCCCCTCCCTCCGTCTTTCTCTTCCCCTCTCCTTCCCCGGAAACGCTTCTCTTGCTCATCTTCTCTTCCCCTCTCCTTTTCTTCATTCTCCTTCCTTTCTCCCTTCCCTTTTTTCCTTCCCTCCTTTCCCTCCCTTTTTCTCCCTCCTTAAACATCCCTCCCTTTCCCTCCCTCTTTCCCGTCCCTTCTCCTTTCCTTCCCTCTCCCTTAAACACTTCTCTCTCCTTCTTTCTCGTCCCCTCTCCCTTCTTCCCCTCTCCACTCCCTCCTTCTGAGTAAGCACCTCCCCCACTCTTCTCTACCCCCCCCCCCTCCCTAAACACACCCTCATCCCCTTTCCCTCGCTTCTCGTTCTTCGATTAGCCCCTCCTATTTTTACTCTCTTCTTTTTTTTTCGTATTATTATCACTCAATATTCCTCCCTCCTTCGCATCCTTCGGTTAACACTCCCTTCCCTTTTTTTTCGATTCTTCATTCTGTGCATCACTTCTCTTTTCTTGTGTGTTGTTTCTCCTCCTTCTGTTTTTTTCATCTTCTCCCTCGCGTTGCTGCCTTCCTCTTCGTCCTCCTTCTCCCTCTCCTCCTCCTTCTCCCTCTCTTCGTCCTCCTTCTCCCTCTCCTCCTCCCTCTCCCCCTCTTCGTCCTCCTTCTCCCTCTCCTCCTCCTTCTCCCTCTCTTCGTCCTCCTTCTCCCTCTCTTCGTCCTCCTTCTCCCTCTCCTCGTCCTCCTTCTCCCTCTCCTCCTCCCCCTCCCCCTCTTCGTCCTCCTTCTCCCTCTCCTCCTCCCCCTCCCCCTGGTCATCCTCCACCTCCTTTCGGGTGACGCTCGAGAGGCCGAGGGCAACAAGTAACAAGGCATTCAAAGACACTCTTTTACACGTGCAAAAGCGCCATTGAGATTCCATAGAAAACGGGACAAAGAACTGAAAGAAAACGGAGGCATCTCCTTCGCCTCCACTTTCATCTTGACATCTTTTTCGTTCTTTCTTCCTTCTCTTTCTTTAGCTGTTTTATTCTCTTTTTTTCGATTTCTATATTCCGGGTTCTTTTTCTCCTCCTTCTCCTTCTTCTCTCTCTGCTATTCCTTTCTTCTTCTCCATCTTCTGCACATCTTCCAGCTTCTTTCCCTCTAGCTGCTCCTCTTTTTTTAGACTCTTCCTCTTCCTCTTCCTCTTCTTCTTTTCCTTATCCTCTTCGTTCTTCCCCCTTTTCCTCCATTTCTCCCACCCCCTTCCTCCTCCTCCTCCTCCTCCTCCACCCCCCCTCCTCCTCCTCCACCGCTTGTCGCGCCATTTGCATGATTCATCAACATATCCTTATGAATGTAGACCATTATGGTGAATATCCTACAAGGCGATATAGCTATCAATAACGCATGTGGTCGCTCGTACCCTCCGGTCTCTCTCTCTTTCTCTCTCTATTTCTTTCTCTCTCTGCGTACCTAATGAGTAGCATCAGGAGATATGAATTTATCTATATCATTTACGTAAATAAACAGAGAGAAAGAGAAAAAGAAAGAGAGAGAGAGAGAGAGAGAGAGAGAGAGAGAGAGAGAGAGAGAGAGAGAGAGAGAGAGAGAGAGAGAGAGAGAGAGAGAGAGAGAGAGAGAGACAGAGATCCTCTTTTCTCGACCATGATCGCGTAAGCCAAGATGCGTCAAACAAAAGAAATTGAAACAACAAAACCCAGCTGGTCCGCCTTGCTTCATTCCGCCTCCTTCACTTTCTTATTTATTATGATTATTCATTCCTTACTTATCGATCTATCTGTCTTCGCCTTTGGCTTTGACTTAAATTGCATTTGGTTTGACCTGACTTCACTTTCCTCGATTCAACTTGCTTATCCTCCCATTTCAACTTGCCTTTCTTCACTGAACTTCCTTTGCTTGACTGAACTGACTCTCCTAAGATGCCAATCGGCTTAACAAGACTTACTCTCATAACTTCCTCAACGATCTTGCTTTGACTTGTAAACTTGCTTGCCATGAGTTGTCAACTGACTTGCCTTAGCTTGTCGAACATTTCCGAGCCAGCAATCAAGACGCACTTATAAACAATCTCATCTCGTTGTCTGAGACGGTGACGCGAAGATGCTAAAGATCAAACCGTCTTGCACTTTTCTCGTAGCAGCGACTGGGTGTGAATAGGAGAGAGAGAGAGACGGAGGAGAGAAGAGAAGAGAAGAGAGAGAGAATAGACGAAAGAGAAAGAGAGAGAGAGAGAGAGAGAGAGAGAGAGAGAGAGAGAGAGAGAGAGAGAGAGAGAGAGAAAGAGAGAGAGAGAGAGAGAGAGAGAAAGAGAGAGAGAGAGAGAGAGAGAGAGAGAGAGAGAGAGAGAGAGAGAGAGAGAGAGAGAGAGAGAGAGAGAGAGAGAAGCGAACCAAATGAAAGAAGGAAGAGATGGAAGGAGAGAACCACCGACTTAAACCCAATTCCAAAACCGAAATGAATAGTGAATAGGGAGACGACAGGAAGAAAGGAATAAACGGAGAAAGAGGCAACGATACGCTAACCACGGACAGAAAATCCCACACCAGCCACCACCACCGCAAAAACCGACAGACAAATGCAAACAAACGCTAACAACAAACAAACAACCAGGGGAAACAAAACAAACTATAGGGGGCTCTACTCGATTGCATACACACATACACACATCCACACACCCATACCCATACCCACACCCATACCCACACCCACACCCACACCCACACACACACACACACACACACACACACACACACACACACACACACATACACCCGTAACACCAACAAAGGAAAAAAATCAAGACCAAGTACCAGAAGACGGCGCTTACCATGAGTACCACACGGTCAGGAACATCCCCATGAGCAGGCAGAAGGTCCACCGATAGTGCATTCTTAAGACGAGCCCATCGCAGGACGCGGCGCAGATCTGGTTGGCGCGGCTCTTGAAGAGGTGCAGGACATTGCCGAAGATGGCGCGGAGATCGACGGGCATCGCGGCGGTTCTGGCGGAAGGAAGGAGGGAGAGAGAGCGAGTTAATAAAGGCGTCGAAAAGAGGAGAGGAAGAGCAGGGGAGAGTAAGAATTGGGGGAAGGGGAATGTGTGTGTGGGAGAGAGAGAGAGAGAGAGAGAGAGAGAGAGAGAGAGAGAGAGAGAGAGAGAGAGAGAGAGAGAGAGAGAGAGAGAGAGAGAGAGAGAGAGAGAGAGAGAGAGAGAGAGAGGGAAAGAGAGAGAGAGTAAAAATAAAGGAGAATAAGAGTAGGTAGTGAAAGTAAGAAAGGGGAAAGGAGAGTTAGGGAGAGGTACTGAGAGGGAGGGAGGAGCAGAAATAACAAGAACAACAGCAAAAAATAATAATAATGCAACACTTTAGAATAAACAGTCCATAGAACAAAATAAATCAAACAATTAAAACTAATCAAAGTAGATTACTAGACAACTAAAGACAAATTGAAAATGTAGTTAAATTGGCTTCTCATCTAATTAGGCCAGTATTAATGAAATAATACCAGTAATGGTACAGCAACAATAATAATAATAAATGATAATAATTATGAGGATTATGATAACAATAATTATGATAAGTAATAACAATAGTAATAATGGTAATAATGATGAAAATGATAATAGTAATAACAATAAATAATAATAATAATAATAATAATAATAATAAAATTAAATATCAATAATATTAAATAATAATAACAGTAAGAATCAGTTACAAGAATATCTAAAACAAAGACGCTCATTACTAAAGCATTCCTAAAATTTAAAACCCCGTCTTCCACTAATTCATTTCCACCCAACCTTGTGTTTCCGGCGTCAGTCACCCACTAGCAGTTATTATCACCATTATCATAATCATCACCATTATCATTATCATTATCACCGTTGTTATCATCGTCATCAGCATTGTTGTTATAATCATTATCATTGTTCTTTAATTATCATTATCATTAATAGTATTATCGTCATCAATATTATTGTTGCTGTTATTATCATTAGAAGTAATATTACTACTGATACTACTACTAATATTATTATATTATCATTATTATTATCATTATTAGTATTACTATCATTACCATTATCGTCATCATTACTACTGTGTGTATATATATATATATATATATATATATATATATGCATCTACTAAAACAGGAAATAGAGAAAATAATGAAAATGATAATTGTAATGATAATGACTATGATGATTATTATTAATAACAATACTAATAATAACAGTAGTAATAATAATAATAATAATAATAATAATAATAATACAGATATAAAGAAAATAACAGTGCCTCTACAAACAAGGACTTCCCAAATAAAAAAAAATCGAAAGAACCTAAAAATCGAGACAGAGGGTCGGGGGGGGGAGAGGCAAGAGCAATAGCAACCAAAACTTAACAAACAAACAAAAAATAAATAAAGAGACAAACAGCAACACGGATTCAAAATGTCAAACAAAAGCCATGCCGGTTATGACTAAGTTGTTGTCCCTTTAAAAGTGTTAAAATTTTGGGAGAAAACATCAGACGTCATAGATGAAGGAAAAAGGGGGGGGGCATATAGCTTGGTTAAAATGGGGGGGGGGGTGAAGAAAGGGGGGGGGTAGAGAGGAGAGGGAGAGAGAGAGGGAGAGAGAGAGAGAGAGAGAGAGAGGGAGAGAGAGAGAGAGAGAGAGAGAGAGAGAGAGAGAGAGAGAGAGAGAGAGAGAGAGAGAGAGAGAGAGAGAGAGAGAGAGCGAGAGAAAGGGCAGAGGGGGAAGGGAAGATAAGAAAGAGATACAAGGAGAAGAGAAAGGAAGAAGGGTAGATAATTTAGCGAAAAAGGGGGAGGGGGAGGAAGATTAAGGGAGAGGGATATTGATAAAGATAGATAGAGAGAGAGAGAGAGAGAGAGAGAGAGAGAGAGAGCGAGAGAGAGAGAGATGGGGGGGATGGGGAGGGGGGGAGAGGAAGAGAAAGAGAGACAAAGAGAGAGAGGAAAGAGAGAGGATCCAGTGAGTAAGAGAGAGGGGAGAGAGGAGGGAGATAGTGCAAGGGGGGGGGGTACCGGAAACGAGTCAAGACGTCCGTTTTGACAGCTGGTTCATCATCTCCTTTAGGTCTCTTCTTCGAACGAAACGTTTTTCATCAATTATCTTTATCAATTATTTTTTTCTTCTTCTTTTTTTTCCCCTCTCCTTCGTTTTCCGTCTTCTTCATCATTCCCCCCCCCCCTCCCACTTCGCTCACCTCCCTCCCCCGCCTTTCTACCTCTTTCGCTTTCATTTTCGCTGCAATGCTTATTCTTAACTATTATATTAACTCCCCTCCCCATACCCCCCCCCCCCCCCCCCGCCATCATTGCCTACCTTACCTACCCCGCCACTACCCACCCCCTCCTGGCCTTCCCCAAAAATCATTCCAGGATCTAAATTATTACCCCGAAAATTCTTCTTCTTCTTCTTCATCTTCTTCTTCATCATCTTCTTCATCATCATCTTCTTCTTCTTCTTCCCCTCGGAAAGAAGAAAGAACTGGAAACCAGAATCAACAGGTTGATGAAAAGGCGGACCAGTAGGGAGAAAGAGCAGGTGTTCTCTCTTTCTTTCTTTCTCTCTCTCTCTCTCTCTCTCTCTCTCTCTCTCTCTCTCTCTCTCTCTCTCTCTCTCTCTCTCTCTCTCTCTCTCTCTCTCTCTCTCTTATTTTCGACATCGTCCAGTAACGTCATGCTCCGCCACCAGAAATCCCCAAGAGAGCCAACGGAAATAAAGCGAAATAACGAACGAACGAACGAACATTGCTAGGTTATAGTAAAAGTTAAAAAACAAAATTACAGAGTTAATAATTAACAGGATTCGAAGTCATAAAAAAATACGCTATGCCTAAAACTAATAATGATTAAGGTTTCCGTCCATTGGCAATAATCAATGTCTTTTTGGTCAGTGTTTATATTACAATAAATAAACACGAACAACAATACAAGACGCTTGTGCTACGAAGACAATGAAAAACAGCGAAAAAAAAAATATATATATAGCAATGAATAAGAATGATTAATTTATATCGAACGCACGATCATCGCAAGCAACAATTAGTTATAAAATTATATATACACTTATAAGACTACAAACAAAGCGTTAATAAAGAAAAGCAACAGACACAAGCTACTACGGGGACCGCGCACCCACACTACTAAAACGAATAAAAATCCTAAATGTGGCCTCCCACGTCAACAAGCCATGGACAAAAAGCAAAAAAAGAAAGAAAGAAAGAAAAGAAAAAAAGTATATATATATATAACAAAGGCAAATACAATGAGAAGAACTATATATATATGTGTGTGAGAAATATAACCTTCGTTTGCTACTCGTAACCCACATTTGACGGATGAGAAGCAAAAATTGGCAACTGTGAATGCAGGCCAAGATTTTTATATCACAAAACATCATTAACTTTTTTGTTTACGAAAATTAATAATGAATAATTTGTATATCGTCTTTGAATTTGTAGAGATATGTATGTAGCCTCAGGGGATGCATTTAAAAAAATGGGGGAGGGTAGGTAACTATGCATTTAAATTTTGCAATGCATTTTTTTTTGCATTCATAGTCACTGAAAAGATACAGACCTAAATATATCAAAACTAAATAGGGAGAAACAAAGCTAGAATACATTCCGTTTTACGCGAGTGTTCCCTAAACAATGCAAGGACCGAACCCTCAGAACAAAGGGTAAACTGACTGATCGCTTATGCAAGTATGTCCTACCAAATTCAAATTAATGTCACTAAGCCTACCTTTTCCTACTGATTTTGTCGAGTCTTTAGGAGGAAATACTGTGCTATCATTATTTTAGGAAAAAAAAAAACATTAATAATTCTACCCACTCCCTACTTCTTATTCCAGAACATACACGCGCGCCAATACGGCAAAAAAAATGCTACCATATCTCCTGCCTGTTCACAATGGCGCCGAAACGCTAATCAAAAGAAAGGAACGGCGACTGGAAATCACTCACCTTTGATAAGAGTCCTTAGGTCGACTATTATCTGCTCTTGGCCTGGGAGACCACCAGGCAATGTAGCTCCTTTACTGATAAGAGGTTGTACGACACTATCCACACAGCGAAACGTTCGTACGTCCGGCAGCGGGGGCGGTGGAGTCCTGGCCGCAAATTCTATCAACAGGACTGGCGGACTCAGGTGTAACGTATGCAAGATCCTCCGGTCCTGCCGAGTTGCTCTCTCGTTGCAAGCTAGGTCCTTGGTCGTGCTCTCATGATGCGTTCACACTCGGTTGGTACACGGTAAACACACGCGAGGGGGGTAGGGGGCGAGGGGAAAGGGGGGAGTGCGGGGGCTGGTGCTTTTTTGAGGTGTGGGTCCCTGCTTTGAAACCCCCGACGACACTGAAGGAGCGCCCTTCCGAACACCGCGCGGATGGGGCAGCGGAGCCCAGACGTCAGTGCGACAGGATCAGTAACTCGACATGGCTTTTTTCCGGCGTCAGCACATCAGCCGCGAACACGAGCGCACGCACGGGCAAGACGAGTGACCGTGCGAGTGAAAGACGGAGGGCGGGAGGGAAAGGTATGAGGGAGGGAGAGCGAATGAGTGAGAGTGAGAGGTAGCGGCGTGTGGAGAATAAGGAGGAGGGGGGCACGGGGGGAGGAGGGAGGACTCGTGAAGGAAGGGGTGTGGGGGAGGAGGAGGAGGAAGAAGATGGGGGGTTCGGGTCGACGGGCAACCTCGGTGCTGGGAGGAGGAGGAGGAGGAGGAGACGGCCGGCGCGTTGCGTGGATGACTTCTCTCCACTGCAAGGGATTCTAAGAGCCAAGGTTATATACACCGGCCTTAAACCACCAATGGAAGCAGGCGCTCGCCACACCTCCGCGGCCCGAGCGAGCGGACGAGGAGGAGGAGACTGTGTTAGCGCGCTTGCCTCTTGCTCTCCCTTCTCTTCGCTCTTTCTTGTCACGGAAACAAAAGGAGGAAGGCCGGGAGAAACAGGGAGACAAAGTCGATAAAAAACAAACACACACACGAAAGATCGGGACACTCGCTCGCAACAAATAAAAAATAGGGGGGGGAGTAAGTTCGTATGCACCGCCGCCACTCCCGGAGGTCGTCGTTGGTGAGCGAGAGAGTGAGCGAGAGAGATCGCACGCCCGCTGCTCGAGACGGATTGTTCACTCAGCACTCACTGGTCAGAGAAAAGCAGGGCTGGACGAGGCGACACAACACTAAATACAGGTTCCCGCGAGGTGTTTGGGGGAGTGGGGTAGGGGGAAGGAGGGGAGAGGAGGAAGGGGATGAGGGTAGATAGGGAGAGTGGAGGGGGAGTGGGGGAGCTAGTAGGACGGGGGGAGGAGGTAAGGAGCTGTGTATTTGGCGAAGGGGGCGATGGGGGGGAGGGGGTGCAAGGGGGAGATGATTGCCCCTGATGAGTGTGGTTTTGGAAACGTGTTAACATTTATGCCTCGAATTTGTCGGTGCGCTGTCATATGCGAAATGTACAATCATCTGCTTTTTGAACAATGGGGCGGCCTCTCTCACTAATCCTGATGAATATGACGAACAAGAACGCATAATGATAATTTCCTAAATAATTATTATATT